AATCCACGTGAGTATAGTGGCGTTTGTTAACATAATCAACATGTCCATGACAATCACATTTTTAAGAAGATAAAAAAAAGTATCAAATATTAAAAAAAAATGACAAAAACCTAAAAGGTGACAAACTCAAAAAAGTGACAAAATCTGAAAGAAAAAAAGAAGTTTTTTGAAAGTAAAAAAATACTGTGTCAATTTAAAAGTGACTTTTTAAATAAAAATTATCACTTTTTTACACAATTCAAAAAAAAAAAAAAAATGACACAAACTAAAAAAGGCGACAAAATAAAAAATAAAAAATAAGTGACACAAACTAAAAAAAAATGACAAACACCAAAATAACACCATTCATTTTGTTCGCTTGACTTTTCATATAATTTTCCACCAGTACCATCCCACATAACAACATTTTCAATGTATTGAAAGTATACTTCTTGATCAGCAGTTCAAAAGCGCACAAAGGATTATCAAGCCTTTGGACAAAACACAAATTGCCACTTCAAGAGGTATTACATGAAACATCCTATTTGTTTCACCAAAAACCTCTGTCATTCAGAAACCTTGTGATTGCAGATTAGGCAAATTGGACATAAAATTAGAGTAGGTATCAACCTAGCCTTGCTTATATTTGTAGTACCCAAAAAGAATTAGGAAGGAGAAACCAAAAATCCCAGAAGAAAAAAATAGAAATGTTAGTCAACTTTCAAAAGAGGGAATTTGAAACTATGGGTAACAAAGTTACTAGTGCGTACGAACAATGGGAACTTTTTTTGGCCTTGCTTGAATTGACCAAGTGGTGGCCATGCTGAACGAGAAGGTCAAAATGGTAATATACCAAAATGTCAACGCAGGCATCGACCAGAATGAAGCCATCGAAATATTCGTTCTACAAGCTACATTAATTAGCTACCCAAGGAAAGAAAAAATCGGGCATAACAAGAGTCAGAAAAAGCTGAAGCTTGGACAAGAGCCTTTTGAATGGCTCTCCCATTTTACTCCACACAGCCATGGCAAAGCCATGTGAATCGACTCCTTAGCCATGGTAAAAATCGTACCAACAGCAGGCAGAGATGGTGGACTGGTGGAGAAACTGGTTGAGATTGTTTAGTTTGGGGCTTTAGGGATGGAGCCTCCAAGGCTTACGATATTGCGGCCCCAAAGATTTCGAGGCCGAGATACAGTCACAAGCTTTAAACCATTGTCGAAAACTAGAGAAGACGATGTTGAATCTGCCCAAAGATGTGGTCATAATGAATTTCCATCCGTTTTCATGTAGAAAATAGGTTTACAAAGGATAATGAGTGTATTAATCAATTCTCTTGGTTTTAGGCCATACTTAGCCTAATTTCCTCTATTGATAATGTACTTTTCTAATTTTAGTCCCTGTTTATGACAATCATATTTTATTTCAACTCTATATTTTACCTACTCATTTTTTACTACACATTAACATAATAAAAAATTCTACACGTAAACTCAATTTTTTTTTTCATATTTTATAAGCACACATTCTTCAAAAACTTATTATTCAAAAACATTGTTTTTCCAAAATAAATTCCTCAAACAGGGGGCTTAATTTTTTGGTGCTTCTTTTTCTTGAGAAATTGATGTGGCTTGATCTAATGTCAAAAATTATATCTTTGTTGTTTAACCATGTTGATGTGACAGATTTCATAGGAAATTCAATTCTCTAAGAGTGAGCATCTATTGTTTTCAAAGTTTTAAAATGCGTAATGCGTAACAATTCGTTTCAATCAAGTATCAAATATTATAAATATATGCATGCCTATAAAAAGTATATGTGTAATTTTACTTTTTCTTTTAATTTTTAATATTATTTTAAATATTCTAAACTAATAAATAAACAAAATAACGCATTTTTTGAACTTTATATATATACTTTCAAATTATCAACATAATAAATAAAATGTTTAAAATCGTAAATACTACATTTATTTGAACTTTATACATATTCTTCAAAATTTCAACAAAAACATATTGTTTAAAACTATAAATACTACAATTACTTGATAATCAATTTCTACAATTAAATTAAATATGAACGTTGACTTTAAAAATCCTAAGTATTGTCTAACTTCTTATCAGATACCAATTCAATCTCTTTTTCCTCATTTAAGTTATCTTTCGTATCATTCATGCAAAAAAAATTTCATTGGGCTCCCTTATTTCAACTCGAAAACTTATAGTATCTCATGTAAATGGTAAGTCTTCCTCATCATCATAACCACTAATAGTCCAAGATTGTGCATTAGCAGCATCACTTGCGAGTAAAACTAAAGGAAAACCAAAGAAGAAGGTCTTGGTGTAGATTTTTGCAATTTTTCAAAAAAAATAAAATTATATATATATATATATATTTTTTTTTTTTTTTTTTTAATGTCAAAATCCTATAGATTGCTGCATATAATTCACGGACTTAGTGATTTAGACTAATTTTTGTTGAGTTACTATATTTTTTATGTTATAAAAATGGGATGGGATTTACTAGCCCAATTTTGACACAATTTTTAACACAAATGTATGCACATTTGGACATTAAGCGTGTCTATACAATCAATGGAGTTGGTTGATGACATTATCATGTGCATCACTTATATGCAAGGCATTTTGAAAATGTCTCGAGCATATACAAGTATTTTAGAACACTGATTATTTCCATTGGTGCCAACATTTTTGAATTGAAATTAAAAGTTCTTTCCTTTTCCTTATTGAACCTGTCGAATACTCCTTGTTTCTTGACACTTAATGTAGAAATAAAATAAGAGATAATTGAACATGGTAAAGTTGAGTTTTATGGACAATTTTGACTGTTTTACTATCTTCTCAATTTTTTTGTTAAAT